TGCAAATCAGTGCTTTGTAAAGGAATTAGCCTGAGAAATTGTAGCTTTCATTTTTGAGGCAACAGTTTGTTCATTGTAAGAGAGGACAAAAACAAAAAAAACTACCAGAACTCACAGAGAGATGGGCAGTGGAGACTGGCATCAAGAGGTGAGAGCATTAACTAACTTCCCCATCATAGGATGGGGATACTTCATCTTAGTTTTATTTTGTAAAATAAATGCACTGTAGATTGCAACAACCCAAAGCATTTCCTACCCTAGGGTAGCATTCAGTGTCAGGTATTAGCAGCACTTGATTTGATAATGGCTGTAACTGCTGCCTTGCTAAACAAGTGCTTTCACTTTCTGCCATTTGAGGGTGAGCTTTTCAAAACACACCTGAGAATTCAGTGACATGCCCCCATTGCAAACCACTAGAAATGGGGCATTTAACTTCTTAAAATACTTTTGAAAATCCCACCCATAATGTTTACTCAAATACTGAAGTTAAATGTGTCCATTCTTAAGGACCACTCTACAGCTCTCTGTTGTATTCCTCCAAATAAATATTTCTTTCCCCCTCCCTGCTTTCAGCTAATGCCCTATGCATATTTATACAGAATCATGTTTCCCCTTAAATACTGTTGACTTTGGCTCAGTAAGAGATTCCTTATTTAACCTGCCCTTGTAAGCTATTTTCTCAAGGCTTTGTATCATTCGTAATTCCTTTATTATTGTTGTCTGTATCTTTTTGCATTTGGAAAAAAAAAAACAGTTTTCCAGATTTGTCAGTGGATTATCCAGTATGACTACATGGTTTGCTGGCTCTGGGAAGTCTTCATAGGTGGGCTGCCTGTGCCACACTACATTTGACCTTGCTCCCAGTTATCAGACAGGATCAGCTCCTGCATCTGTTTAATTTGACAGAAAGGCTTTCCCTCAGTTCTCTCTGCATTGCTACTTCTGGACCAGGGAGGGCAGGAAAAATTGCAGGGATGACATGGGATGATGGTCACAAATCATTTGAAGACAAAATTATGGATACTGTGCAGCAAGGTGGGTGTGGAGAAGGTGTTTAACAAGAGCTTCAGGATGTTTCCCCTATGGTACATTTCACTGAGGGACATTTGCTGCCCTTTTAAAAATGGGAGAAGTGCATCTGTAGGAAAGCTGAGAAATTAATATACTTCCCTTGAGTCTCAGTCAAGGTGGGAATAGTGCTGAGAACGGGCAGGTTTATTCCGGGCCTTCTCAGTCACAGTGCCACAAAGGCTTCTTTTGGCTGTCAGTGGTTTTGTTGTGTTCTTGCACCTTTTAAGGAAAATGAGGGCAGTTCTTGATAAACACAGAAGCACGGATTTCAAACTGCATCTTTCCGTTGGTGGAAACTTTGGATGTTATTAATTTGTAAAAAAAAGTACTAAAATTAATAGCATTCCAGGATTTCAGACTCTGCTTTCCTGTATTGCTCCATAAATGTGCTTTTGTGGAAAAAAAAAAAAAAAAATTCCACAACATACTTCTTTCTTGAAAATCCACTGCAGTCTTTCCTCCAAGTGAGTCTTTAAAAATATGTGCTCAAAACACCTGCTTGCTTATCTGGCTGGTCAGGAAGAAAATGCTGTGTTGACAGTAGAGTTTACAGTGAAGATTCACTTGGAAATGTAACACCTGCGTATATCCTCTCTCTGCATTCATTTGGAAAACTCCAAGCTCTTTTTATTGAAGAAAATGTAGGAGAGAAGAAAAAAAACACAACGGAAAGAAAGCTGGATTTTGCATTCACACTTGAGTATAGGCTGTTAAAATGGACCTGAAGTGTTCCTGTTGATTCTACATTTCTTTTTCCAATGAAAGGGACAAAAATAAAATAAAGGTTATTTATAAAAATGTGTCTTGGAATATGCTTTGAAACATAAGACCATTCTAGTAATTTTAAGTCCTATGTATTCAGTGCTAGCACATGTTAATATTTGGGGTTTTTTTTCTGCAGCAGACAGTATAGATGAGTATTTCAGAAGTGGGCAAATTACATACTTGAAACTATGTGAAAAATTTATTGAACCTTCACACAGGTGAGAGAACACCAAACATACAGATGAAGCAGAGTGAAACAAGGCTGAGTGAAGAGTGCGGAAAGGGTGAGGAAGAAAGTCAGTGAGATGCAATGCTGAAAAAGCTCCGATTGTGTTCATGTCAATATAACAGATACTCCTTCTTCTGGTTTTAATCCGTATTCATTTTTCCTTCATCAGCCCTTTAGGTTTGGCCCTTTGACTACAAAACGACATTGCGTGGTCTCTGCTGTAAATCTTCCTTTCTCTCATGGGACTGCGGGGAGCACTGTTTTTCCAAAAGGCACATTGTGGCATGTGGTAAATGGTCTGTGCGGGCCACCTTCAGTCTGTGTGAGCCATTTGACTCTGTACTTTTAATTAGCTTCTCTGCTGTGCCAGGGGGAGGTTGTGAGCTGTACTAGGGGTCAGGTCATTGGTCTTACACTGGATCCATGGGGGTCATCGTTCTCTAGGAGACCCACGTTGCTGACGAGCAGCCTGAACTCCAGCCTATGGACTCCGTTTGTAAATGCTGCAGAGAGTTTGTGTCACGTTTATTCATGGTTACCTGCCTGAACCTCCTCAAAACTGTTCCAATCCACTGAACTTAGTGGAGTTATCTGCTTGCATAAAACTGAACCAAAGGTAGAGATGTGCTTTATGTCTGCATAAATAATCATCCCTAACAACTGTTAAAAAATAAAAATTAAAGTCAGTGTGCATGGCAGCGATTAGTTTAGCATGATTATGTGAAATGGGTGCAGCTCTTCTTAATTAGTAATTAGACTTGTAAAATAGCTAATGTTTTTGTCTCATTAATACAACAGGATTATTGGTATCTATGAAGTTAGGAGGAGTCTTTGGAGGAGCAGATAATGAGTTGCAGCGTAAGGGGGTGGAATGTGTTAGGTCTGTCAGAGTGTTTTATGGAGAGCTGTAAAAATGGAAACTGTACTTGATACTTGCAGATTATTCTTATATTCCTTTCACAGGAAGGCACACCCATTCTCAAAAATATAATTGTGGGCTCTCTCTTTGCAGATTTAGCACATACAAGAAGAGGCATACACATTAAAGCTGGGAACTGGAGCCAAGGCTTCACTTCTGTGCTAAGCTCTGACTTTGGACAGAACTACTTTAAACTCATAACTCATAGGCAGTAGCTTCATAGAAGGCTTTTTTTGGTGTCATTTTTTGTTATTTGTTTTACAATTTTTTTTTTTTTTCCAAGTTAAGGTCTTACACAGCAATTATACGTCCAAAACTTATTTCTGCTCCTTCTGCTTAGGAAGATGGCAAGCAAATAAGCCATTAACAGCAAAGGGCATTTGTTAATTCCCAGTCTAATTATGTGTACTGAATACATGAAAAACTGATTTGTGATGTCAGCCTAATTTATTCCTACCAAAAATTTCACTTGCTATTGCTGTTTCTGTAATGAAAATACAGGAAAAAATGTGGTAGTTAGATGTATGCAGTTTAAGTAAAATATGAAGAAACATTGAAGAAAATATTTGAAGAAAACAAAAATTGAAGAAATATATACGTAGATGTAAGAAGACTCATGGAGCAAGGAAAGCTTGTGGTGCAATACTCTTTGTGCTATTTTGGATATTTTGATTAAAACATTCATTCTTATACTTTGTCAAAGACATTTGTAATTCTAATTGTATGTGATAAATTATCTAAGTTTGAGCTATGGTAATCTCTGTTTATTGCAAAATAAAATCAGTGTAGCCGTGTCATAAATAAGTATGATGGCATTCAGAGCTGTAGTAGATGGCATTCAGGCTGGAGAAGCCCCTAGAGCAGTTTGTGTAACTGTTGGGATTGCCTCATTCATTTGGATTTTGGGATGCACGCTTGCTTTTCTGTCCATTTGCCCGAAGAGGCATTAGGCAAATCAGTCAGTCATGGCAATCCCGGAGCCTCACTGGGGCAGCTCTGAAATGCTTGCCATTGTTTTTTCTGCTACATTTTATGTACATGTTCATGTTTTGTATATTAATGCCTTTGAGAAGAGCTTGCAGATTCATCAAAATACGTATCCCATTGGTGTGTTCTGACACCTTCGATTATTCCATACCTGGTTTTCATTCTGTGTCATGTTCCTGCTTTTACTGGTTGTGCCAGAAGGAACAATATCATGCTGCTGCCTTTAAGGGTAGTTTCAGAATCTAGGGCCTTTTCTAAGGATTTCCTAAGTGACTGTTTCCTCACGTGTGTTGCCAGATTTCCTTTACCAGTATTTACTGTGATTTATATGCAAGTGCAAGCAGAGAAATTTTCCCTCCTGAGTTCAAATCTCTTTCCCCTTGAACCAGACTGAGGCAGGTGTGACTGCAGCCAAGTTTAATTGTGGCAGTCATCAGAATGAATCTGCCTTCCCTCTGAACCCATTCCACAGCTTCTACAGATGAAAGAGATAATGTTCTGAAGAATCATCAGTGGCTATGTAGTTAGAGGATGGAGCCATGAGTGCTTAAGTAGGAAACCGTATGACATCTGCTGGTTTTAATTAAGTAAAATGAAAAGCCTGAGCTGTGAGGGATTCAGAATATGTGTATGAGTTAAGGATTTGCAGGACATTGCAGTACATAGTGTTCAGCATATAATACACAGATTACAAATCAGCTGTGTATAACATATAAGTGATAAACTCCTGTATGACTTTGGTGTTGGTTGGTTTTTTTGGTGGGATAATGCATCCATATGTATACAAGATTTCCTCTTATTATCTTAGAATGCTGGTCTCAGCCAGATGGACATCCTTAGAATGCAGAGGATATTGCCTCTGGCTGGAAGTCTGCAGAAAGGAAACCCACTGGTAATTTGATACTTATAATACAGTAATATGCTGAGTGTTTTATGCTTCACCTCTGTTGATATTTGTTTTTAAAGCCACAGGCAAGGCCATTAGGCTCTCAGCTTATGTATTTGTGTGATTTCTCTCTTCCTTACCAGGCTGGTATGATAAGAACTGATGAGGATGAATACTTCATTGAGCCTTTGGAAAGAGGAAAACAAATGGAAGAGGAAAAGGGAAGAATCCATATGGTGTACAGGCGATCAGCTGTAGTGCAACATATCACTGATACTCTGCCTGATGTCCACACTGAAGGTACAGTACACCTGTGTGCTTGTTTACAAATCTCTTCCAGGTAACTGTAGCCTACTGTACCTTTTGAAAGAGGCAGTTTTGACTGAGTTGCTGGAAAAGACAGTTTTTAAATATTTTGCTAAAATACATCAATGTCATGTATACACTTTCTCTGCCAAGAGCAGCACTTGTGCATGCGTCTAGGAGACCAGAACCTAGCCACGAGGTGTTCTCTTCAAGAAACGTTGCAAAATTCATGCTTGGTTCCTGCTTAAGCCAAAAGAAAAGTTTGTACTGATTTCAGTGGAAATAAGTCAGAGCTCTGCCTAATATGGTAAGATGTTATGGGACATGTTAATAGAAATACTCATATGACTTGAATATTCTAAGTTGTTATTAAGGTTCGCCTGTCTATGCAACTTCTGTTTAAAATTTGGATCTTATTTCTTTCCAGATAATAGCTGAATTGTGCCAATGGCTGATACTGTTTTCCCCCTTCTATGAGTTGTAGTCAATGCAGTTTGAAAGCAATTGTCTTAACTGGATATATACTTTGACAAATTCTGGAGTTACTCTCAGTCTTAAAGACAATCTGGTCTATCTGAGAATAATTATTGTGTGGTTTTAATCCATTCCAGCACATGTTTTTTCCCTTGTTTTAATATTAAATGAATGTTTACAAGCCAGCATATTGCATAAGGAACGCTGAAGTTTTTGATGCTGTGGATTAGAGAGCAGCTTCATTCCCCTTCTGCAGTCGGTTTGTTCAACATCTCTCAACTTCTCAAATTTCTTTTGTACTTCTTTGTGCTCACTTATTCATGCAACTTAGAAGTGTTTGAAAAGAGCAAAAAGTACAATACAGAACTAGAATTAGATACAAATATTAAGCAGAGAGGATGTATGCACTCCCTCATCACCAGTCTTCATGAACTTGAATTATTTAGTTTGGGTTTGGAGTTTTGTCTCCGGAAAAATTAGGTAGGAATTGACAAGCATTTCAAATAAAATCCCAACAGGATTTTATTAGTCTTTCAGAAGGTAAGTCCATGCTGCACTATGGCATGGCAGTATCACAGCAGGTTTGGGGACCAGCAGCAGTCTGAACCATACAAGCTAATAAACATAGCATTTCTCTGAGGTCTATGCTGCTGCCAGAGGTACTTCACTTTTGATAACCCAAATGAGGTCATTTAGATCATGCATCTCTGTTGTGTGAGTGACTGAACGACGCTAAAAAAGAGCTTTTATGCTAATGATAACAGGCTTGATGCTGTGTTTCTACCTTGAAACCATTTTGTCAGTTGGGCTGACAGAGTCAAACCAGACAGACAACAAACCAGACATTTTGATGATAAAGCCCCTGGTCTGCATTGGTGAACTCAGCATCTCCTTCCTTTACCATACTTCATGTACTCACAGACTTTATTTGCACATGCTTTGAATCCATGGAAACCTTTGCAAATTCCAACTAGTTATAACATGGGGAAAGGCTGCAGGAACATGTAATAGCTGTGGCCAATTATTCACAGCTCTGTGGAAGAATTTACAATTCCAGAATTACAAATTGCAGTTTGTAATGCATGAAGATTACTGTGAGTCTTTGAATGTTGTTTGGCATGTGGTCAGTGCGTAAAGCTCTTAATGCCTTCGGCATATTCTGATCTTCTGCTTGATTGGTGGGAATCCTTAAGAACAGCAGCTACCTTTTTGAAACTGGTAGTGATCTTTTTAGTGTCAAGGCCATGTGTCTGTAGCTGACTTCTTTGTGATCAAGAAGACCAAAAAGGCTTGTTTCTTACAGGTAGCTTTGTTTCATCCTTTGGCAGAGGAGATCTGTTTCTATGATGCTGAGTGTTTGTTTGGAAACAATCTATGCAGTACATAGTACAGCCCTTATTGGTGAGGGGAACTGAGAACCACAGAGGCACGTGTGGCTACCTTGAGCATATTCTGTGAAAAAGGAAAGTCATGAAATAAGGCAGAACTTGATCAAATGTAGACATTCTTCCTGGACTAGGGGAACTTACTGTGTCACCAGGTTACTCTGGAAAAGTCTGTTTTAAGTGGAAGTGGAGGATATGGGTGAAGAGGTGCTGGTGTCTGCCACATGTGTACAAGCTCTTATCAGTCTTATACTGAAACAGTTGAGTGCTGTGTTATGTTTCTAGGATTGCTCTAAGCCTGGCTGGTGCTGAGCAGTACAGATCCCAGGTTACCAACCTGTTCACTCCTAGCAAAAATGAAGAAGTACAAACTTTTAGTTATGGTAGAGTCCAGCCGTCTGTGTTCATTGTGTATTCAGTTAGGTGCTTTATTGATGTACTACACAAATATTCATACAGAATGTTTGTATATGTCAGTTGACGTGAGGCAGTATCTTCTGATGAGGGAGCTCCATCGAAGCTGTCACTTTCTCATACTCTCTAACTGATATTTCTGTATTGGTGTTGTCCAACCTTTTGGCTTGCCTGAGTTGCATTGAGTGAAGAAGAATTGTCTTGGACCACATATAAAATATATCTGTAGTTAATGTGTACAGGCAACGGAACTTTTTTTATTTTTTTCCATTTTCTATTAAAACGTAAAGAAAAGAGAGCAACGAAAGTAGAAAATTAGAGGTTTGGGCAGCATTTGTTTTCTAGCCATCCGCAAGATATCTTTTCCCTCTTCTTTCTTTCATAATTTAAAATACAAAACCAAGGAATGCTGTCTTGTTTATCCACTTATGTATCACTGTGTTTGCAACTAAGTTGTTGATTAATGTGTTTTGAATTTTAAGTTTGTGGAAGTAGTATTCACTGATTTGTGGATAACTCACATAACTGTACTTGGGTAAAAGTGTTCAGTGATGCCGAAGTATGACCCAGTCCTGTAGCACATGCAGATTATCAGGGTAGGAAAAAGGGAGCGCTTTATACTACATTGCTGCCCGTCATTTTTTAGCAGAGCTCTATTCCTGTAAGACACTCAGGCTATTTCAGTCCAAAGTTTATATTCATGGGCAAAACCTTATTTAACATCAAAGAATTTCCTCTGCCAAATAACCAGAGTCTCACAGGCCTTTTGGTTCTGTGTGTGTGGTATCTAACTCTTATCTTTTTTTTTTTTTTTCCCGTCATTTCCTTTATTGTGAGCTGACTTACATCCAGAGCGGTGTTGGCAAGTCCAGATCTGTGCTTCTGAAGTAGAAAAAACCTTCAAGCCTTGGTAAACTGTGTCTGGACAGCAGACTTTAAACATCCTTTTTGAAAGGTAATAAACACATAAAACCTCCCTCTGGTTGTTGGCTTGCAAATTGGTTCAGTGTAATAGATAAACTGCTTGTAATGCAGCTCTTTTTTCAGTTCAAAAGTGGTCAAAGAACCTCTTCTGTAACCCACGTATGAGAACACTGGCTCCATTGCCAATCATGGTGTAGATAACAGTATGGCATGCCTAGGCTTTTGTGAGAACACTGTACATAGATATTTGAGATACTGTCATTATCTTGAACTTCCTCCCAGGAGGGTTTCTTAGAATGTGACAAATGAATTTTCTTCTAGCGATGAACTTCCATTCATCTGTAATTCTCCTAAAGTTCTCCTTTTCACTGGTAAACAAACCACTTTCCGGTCTGTTATAAATTGTAGAGTCATTGAATGATTTAGGTTGGAGGGGACTTTAAAAGCCCACCCAGTTCCAGTCCTCAGCCATGGGCTGGTTGCCATGCACCAGATCAGGCTGCCCAGGATCCCATCCAGTCTGGCCTTGAGTGTCTCCAGGGATGGGGCATGCACAGCATCTCTGCACAAGCTGTTCTTGAGGCTGCCTCACCACCCCCTGAGTAAAGAATTTCTTCCTAACGTCTAGCCTTAATCTTCCCTCGTTTAGTTTTAAGCCATTCCCCTTTGTTCTGTCACTATTAGACTACATAAAATGTCAATCCCTCTCCTGTTTATAATCTCCCTGCAAGTACTGGAAGGCCACAGGGAGGTCTCCCTGCAGCCTTCTCTTCTCCAAGCTAAGCAATCCCAAATCCCTCAACCTTCCTTTATTAGGAAAGATGCTTCAGCCCCTTGATCTTCTTGGCCTTCTGAACCTGCTCCAGTGGCTCCACATCCCTCCTATACTTGGGACACAGTAGTCTAGGTAGGGTCTAACAAGAACAGAGTAGAGGAGGATAATCACATCCCCTCACCCATGGGTGCTGGCCACCCATCAGTGTGATGCCGTCAGCAAGCTTGCTAAGAGTACGCTAAGTCCTGCTGTCTGTGTTGTTGATAAAGATATTGAAGAGCACTGGTCCCAAGATAGTCCCCACCTGTGATTGGCCTTGGACATAGAGCTGTTGACAACAACCTGACTGTGACCATCCAACCAGTTCTTTACCCACTGAATATGCCACCCTTCAAATCCATATCTCTCCAATTTAGAGATAAGCATGTGGTGTGGGTGTCAAAGGCTTTGTGCAAGTCCAGTTAATCAACATCATTTGTTCTTTCTTTCTCCACTGATGCAGTCACTCCAACAAAGAAGGCTACCACACTGTTCAGGCATGGTTTGCCCTTGGTGAAGCCATGCTGGCTGTACTGGTTCACCTTCTTATCTCACATGTGCCTTAACATCTCTTCCAGGAGGATCTGTTCCTTGATCTTCCCAGGCACCAGATGTGAGGCTCACCAGCTGGTAGTTCCCTGGCTCAGCCATGAGCCATGGTAATCCTCACTCAGCCATAATAGTCTCCCGCCTCCTCTGCTTGATTTCTTCTGCTGAGGGATGGAGAGCTCTTGTGCTCTCAGAAAGGTGTCCTTAAAGTGCTGCCAGCTCTGTACTGTTCCTTTACCTCTAAGGATAGTTTCCCAGGATATCTCATTCAGCAATTTCTCAAATAGCCTGAAGTTTGCTCTCCTGAAGTTCAGGGTCCTGATTCCACTCTATTCCAGGCCCACATTCCTCAAGGTCTCCCGGGCATGGTTGCTGCAACATAGGCTGCCTCCAATCTTTACCTCTTTAGTGATCTCTTCTGCACTGGTCACCAG